CTGTTATCTTGCTAGTGAGCTTTATAAAACGTTGTAAAGATAGAAGTTATTCTTTCACACATTTTTGAGGCAAACCACCAAATATTTTACATTTTTTACATAGATTCCTATTCCGGCTTTAGGAATCACACTTTCTGAATAAAACACAAACATACAGAGGCAGAAATGCTATGTAACGTTGAGTTAAATTTTTTAGCCAATTACTTTTTTTCTGCTCGAATCCCCAGTAGTTTCTGGGTTTGTCCACTAAGAGGCGCCACGGTCTAATGAGTTTAAATGTGTGCGACGTGTTTCTGCAAAGAGAGGAGGCAAAAGTACGAGACGGCTTGTAAAAGTATTTCAGTCATTTCCTAAAGCTTTTTCATTTCCTAAAACTTTTGGGACAAACGAAAAAAAAGTGAGGTGAGGTACCCCAGCTTTAACTAAAGGTATAAAACTACCAGAAGTAAGATACAATTGTGTTGAATAATTGAATAACTGTTAAAGTGCCGTTGTAGAAATGTTTGGAAGAGACTGGAAGAAATTCTGGCAACAAAAAAAACATAGAGCTGGAGCCGAATGGTCTAAACTTAGAAGCGCTGCTAACCACTTTGAACCTGTTTTAATGTCGTGGGGTCATCTAGTAACTAATTCATTTCACTATTGGCTGTCTTGCTGGTCTCTCTCTGGTTTCTTACTCTCTGCTCTCTCTCTTTGGTCTCTCTCTGGTCTTTCTTTCTGGTCTCTCTCTCTATCTGGGCTCTCTCTTGTCTCTCTCTGGCCTCTCTTTGGTCTCTCTTTGGTCTCTCTCTGGTCCCTCTTTGGGTTCTCTCTCTCTGGTGTCTCTCTGGTGTCTCTCTGGTCTCTCTCTCTGGTCTTTCTCTAGTCTCTCTCTAGGCTCTCTCTGGTCTCTCGCATACATTCAGATACAAGGACATATTGTTACTAAAGTTGTGTGTTGTGTCTTTATTTAAAAATTCCTGACTAACCTTGTCTTTTCCTGGATAATCCCATCTCCGGGAAAAACACAAACTTTAGGGAAACCGCGCAATGTTTTCTGACCGCAGCGTTTTGTTTTGGGTCCTGTTCTGCTTTCATTCATCATCCCTGGATTCTGTTTTCATGACTCAAATTTAGACTTGTCTTTGGAGGCGTCCGGGAAGAATACCCAGTGGCTGTTGTTTTGAATAGATCAGCCTCAGTCCTGGATCTTCAGCCTCAGTCCTGGATCTACAGCCTCAGTCCTGGATCTACAGCCTCAGTCCTGAATCTGGGTCTACAGCCTCAGTCCTGAATCTACAGCCTCAGTCCTGGATCTACAGCCTCAGTCCTGGGTCTACAGCCTCAGTCCTGGGTCTACAGTCTCAGTCCTGAATCTACAGCCTCAGTCCTGGGTCTACAGCCTCAGTCCTGAATCTACAGCCTCAGTCCTGGGTCTACAGTCTCAGTCCTGAATCTACAGCCTCAGTCCTGGGTCTACAGCACGGCAGAGGCGGCGTTACTGCAACTCGGCACAGGCAGGAAATGGACATTGCCAAATTTTTTCTGCCGGCCACACGTGCAGCGACCAATCAAAGAGCTGCAAAGTGGTCACGGGACTTTAACGGTCTGAGCGAGCAGACTCAAGATACAAACAGCTAACAGCCATAAACAGTAGCTAAACCAGTACTAAACCAGGATTGACAATCGGGGACACAGTGCTTGCCTCCAGTTGTTTTTTCCCAGTTCTTATCTTCTGCTTGTGTGAAGTGGTGGCAGTATTTACTGACGGTCTGAGGAGGAGGAGGCTCGTTGTGTTCAGCTCCCAACACTGTTTTGAAAGAGCAGTGGAGCCAGAAGATAAGGATAATTATAGGAGCCAACAGAGATGGAAACTGAGGGAGGGTCTCTCTCAGCTGACGCATAGGGGCTGAGGGTGTTTGTGGGAGACTTCAGTCAAAAGAAAAAACTTCATTTATTGTCCTCATCCTCATCTGTGACTAGAGGTGAAAGTGAGGACAAGAGAGAGAGACCAGAGAGAGACCAATGAGTGAGACCAAAGAGAGAGACCGGACAGAGGGACAAGAGAGAGAAACCAGAAAGAGAACAGAGAGAGACTAGAGAGAGAGAGAGAGCAGAAAGAGAACAGAGAGAGACTAGAGAGAGAGACCAGAAAGAGAACAGAGAGAGAGAGAGAGAGCAGAAAGAGACTAGAGAGAGAGACCAGAAAGAGAACAGAGAGACTAGAGAGAGAGACCAGAAAGAGAACAGAGAGAGACTAGAGAGAGAGAGACCAGAAAGAGAACAGAGAGAGACTAGAGAGAGAGAGAGAGCAGAAAGAGAACAGAGAGAGACTAGAGAGAGAGACCAGAAAGAGAACAGAGAGAGACTAGAGAGAGAGAGCAGAAAGAGAACAGAGAGAGACCAGAAAGAGAACAGAGAGGGACCATAGAGTGAGACCAGAGAGAGAAGAGAAAGTAGACGAAGACCAGAGACGTGAGAAAAGACTGCGTCCTTCATCATCCTCATCCTTAACGTTTGTGTGATTTTAATGTTTTTAATTACATTGTTGATTATTTGTGCCTCGTGTGAAGTGATTGTGATGTTTTTTGTGTTAGCCCTGAGTAGATAAAGTGCTCTACAAATAAAGATGGATTGATTGATACATAAACAAACTACATGTACTGTAGCTTATGAGGTTGATAGAGCTTTTGGTTCCACACATATAAAGTGCATTTAAAGGAGCAGTATGTAAATATCTGACCAAAAGTGGTACTGCAGCCTCTCCCACTCTCCCTGACTCAGGTTGCCAAATATGAAGACGAATCCAGCTGGGACCATAACAGCTGAATAGACAAGAGTTTTGTCAACAACAAATCTATAACCAACACCTTTTTCACAAAGATAGAAATCCTGGTTTTATTCCTTGTTTTGTCATTAATGATTTGAGAATCATAACTTGACCTTTTTTAGTTCTGCGCCACATGGTACTTTACCAGTGAGATTAGCTCGATGCGATGAGTTCTGCCGCCCGGATCACGGACTTTCTGATAGGGTAAAACGATGGAGGGCGGGACATAAAAATGAAAACAGTGACAAGATTTACGAGCTGTAAAACTAATTTTGAAAGTCAAATATCTCTGAATCACTGTTCAGAGTTAGGGTTTCCAAAAGTGCAAAAGAGCATGTTTTATTAATGCCTTTTGAAACATTAGGGCCATTAATGATGACTCGACATAATGGTTGATGTTTTGCTGCTTTAACTGTTACAATGTTTAACTGTTACTATATGTTTCTTCAGCTTCAGTCATTACCGAACATTTCTTTGGAATAATGTTTGCAAAAATACACCTTTTGATCAGATACACCCAAGATTTTTGGCTTATGAGATCTCGACACACCCAAACATGATTACGTCTTTATTGAAACCAGTTAGGTACAAAACATTAGAAATAACTTAACATCTGCACATTCAGTTCCTGCACTCCGTCCAGTTCAGTCCCATCCTCACAGAAACAAGAGAAGAAGACTAGAGACCACTTCATGTGTTTGGCTCCCACTTAGTATATTTGATATCCAGGAACCATAAAGTCCTCGTCACCATATCTTTTGGCTGCAGATGTGGTTTTTCCGGTCTGTAATCTGCGGATGCTGGAGCAGAGCGACTCGGGCAGAGATTTTGGAGGCAGAGATTTTGGAGGCAGAGTTGAGGCGTTAATAAAGAGACTAGCTTTGGTTTTAAGGCTGTGGCAGAAAGACAAAACGGTGAAAAACAACAAGAGGAATGCCACAGGGGGTTAACTTTGGTGAAGACGCAACAGCAGCTGACGGAGTGTGACATCACCAAAGTGTGAAGAAGCCGATTTGAACATAAGCTGGAGCCAATTTCGTTACATGGGCGCTTGTTCCGGAGGCATTTGCTGAGTTTCGCCTGTGAATGAAGGTCAATCTTTTTACGTCAAATACTGAACTTTTTTAACACGATGACATCACTGCTCTGTGTCCTGCACTGATGACATCATCAGTCTGTGTCCGCCAGATCATCGTTGCCACACAAGTCATGAAGAACATAGATTAATAAATCCCCCACAGAGTCATTCTCTGTTTGAAGAATCAGTCCATGTAAAATGTTTCCTCATTCAAGTCAAATCTGAAAGGAAAAGCCTCCTACTCTTTGGGGTTTGAGCTCATTCCCACAGAATGTTCAAGGCCCTGTCCACAAAGTCAAACTCAGGACTACCCGGAAAAATACTTATGCACATTGGTGAAACCAGGGTTGAGAGTGGAAAGATCAGAAACCAGAGAGAAGAGACCAAAGAGAGACCAGATGGAGAGAGAGCAGAGAGAGAGAGAGACAGAAACCAGAAAGAGAGCAGGGAAAGACGAGAGAGAGAGAGAGCAGAGAACCTTTTGATTCTCTAATCTGTGTTGGCGAAACTACAACTTTGTAAAGTCCTCCAAGAAAACCACTGTTGTGATTTAGGGCTTGACCGAAATACATTGAATTGAATTTAGAGAGGAACAACACGAATGCATAGAACATCTGAGAGTTTACGGCTCCAGTACGACATGGACATGTGTGTAGCTGGTAGATAACCATGTGTGCAGCTGGTAGATAACCATGTGAGACACTGTGGTCACTGCAGGGGACAGTCTCGAAACTATGGGGCACTCTAGCCCTGCTCCGGGTCGGGGGGTGGGTCCTTTTGCAGGCGACACACTGGTTTGTTGCACATGGGACAGACGCTTCTGATTTCCAGCCACTTCAGAAGGCATCTGAAAACACACAACCATTAGTCTGTGTTCTGTCCCATATGTAGGGGACTATACCTGGTCTCTCCCCTCTTTAAATGGTCTCTCACTGGTCTCTCTCTGGTCTCTCTCTGGTCTCTCACTGGTCTCTCTCTGTCTCTCTCTGGTCTCTCTCTGGTCTCTCACTGGTCTCTCATTGGTCTCTGTTTGGTCTCTCTGGTCTCTCTTTGTCTCTCCCTGGTCTCTCTCTGGTCTCTCTCTGTCTCTCTCTGGTCTCTCACTGGTCTCTGTTTGGTCTCTCTGGTCTCTCTCTGTCTCTCTCTGGTCTCTCACTGGTATCCCTCTATGCATGGCCCAAGTTATGGCCTTAAATGATCTTTGCTAAAGAGTCTGTGTGCAGGGTGAGAGGAGTCCATCACAATCTTACGAGCCCAATCGTCACAATCTGACGATCATACTACTATAGTTTTATTGACATTCAAAGATGCAAAGACAAAGCTCCTGAGAGAGGGGCCCCAGAACCAGAGCCTCCAGGGCCCCCAGTGAGCTGGCTGTGGCCCTGCTCCTGTGTGAAGCGTGGAGTCACACCCGCACCTGAGGCCAGAACACGACTTGACACGCTGCAGAGGAGGAATGTGCCTTTAGACACAGCCTGCAAACTCATACACTCTAAAACAGAACAATGCTAACCAAGGTAGCTCAATGAAGCCCTACAGGGAAGTGCTCATGAGCAAAGTATTATTATTGACTTACATGTAAAAGTGAACTCCAGCTCAGTAACCGTTTGTGTCACACTCACCATTTTGGGCTTAAAAAATGAGAGGTTTATTGCTCCCTGTGATCCTGGTGTTTATATTGTGATATTTTTTTTGTAAATCCAGGTAGCGCCATATAAGGAAGGCCTAATCAGCCTTCATTCGCAGGGGAGACTCTAGCTTGCCTTAGCAACCGTCTTAGCAACACATCTGCCCCTGTGACAGCACAAAGCTAACGCCGTCGGAACAAATGCCCATATAAGGATATTGGCTCTAGCTTGCTTATTTTCAAAGCAGCTTCTTCCACATTAAGGCTAACACTATGGTGATGTCACACTCCATCCACTCGTAATTGACACTCTGCAAATGTTATCTGCAAACTAAACCTGGTCTCTCTCTCTGCTCTCTTTTTCTGGTCTCTCACTGGTCTCTCTATTCTCTCTTTGGTCTCCCTCTCTGCTCTCGTTTCTCTCTCTGGTCTCCCTCTCTAGTCTCACTCTGATCTCGCTATCTGCTCGCTCTGGTCTCCCTCTCTGGTCTCTCTGGTCTCCCTCTCTAGTCTCACTCTGATCTCGCTATCTGCTCGCTCTGGTCTCCCTCTCTGGTCTCTCTGGTCTCCCACTCTAGTCTCACTCTGATCTCGCTATCTGCTCGCTCTGGTCTCCCTCTCTGGTCTCTCTGGTCTCCCTCTCTAGTCTCACTCTGATCTCGCTATCTGCTCGCTCTGGTCTCCCTCTCTGGTCTCTCTGGTCTCCCTCTCTAGTCTCACTCTGATCTCGCTATCTGCTCGCTCTGGTCTCCCTCTCTGGTCTCTCTGATCTCGCTATCTGCTCACTCTGGGCTCCCTCTCTGGTCTCTCTGGTCTCCCTCTCTAGTCTCACTCTGATCTCGCTATCTGCTCGCTCTGGTCTCCCTCTCTGGTCTCTCTGGTCTCCCTCTCTAGTCTCACTCTGATCTCGCTATCTGCTCGCTCTGGTCTCCCTCTCTGGTCTCTCTGGTCTCCCTCTCTAGTCTCACTCTGATCTTGCTATCTGCTCGCTCTGGTCTCCCTCTCTGGTCTCTCTGGTCTCCCTCTCTAGTCTCACTCTGATCTCGCTATCTGCTCGCTCTGGTCTCCCTCTCTGGTCTCTCTGGTCTCTCTGGTCTCTCTGGTCTCTCTGTTCTCTCTGCTCTTTCTGGTCTCTCTCTGCTCTCTCTCTACTCTCCCTCTCTGGTCTCTCTTGTCTCTCTATCAACTATGGTCTATTTATTCTATCAAAAAGGTGTCTAGATAAAAACATATTCAAAAACATACTATCATTTCACATTGACCAGTATTTGCAGAAATTCTGAAAAACAATTCCACAACTTGACCCATAGAGCACCTTCTCCTCGTCTCTCCCCATCTCTCCCCCTGTCTCCCCCCACCACACATAATATTAATAGTATTTCTTTACTTCTTGTGAAAGGCGTGAGAGCAGGGACAGACGCCCAGCTCGTCCTTGGTCCTGAACTCCTCCAGACACACTGCACATGTTTGCTGCAAAAGAGACAAATCAAACATTCAGTCAAGATTTAATGACTGTGAGAGAAACAGTGTTATCAAACCTGTTTACTCCTGATTTTGTAACGTCGTAAAAAAAACACACACACACAGAAACACAGAAACACAGAAACAGGAGCTGTAAGATACTATTGCTCTATCCTGCCATTAATGATACTGTACTCTTTCAGTACAGTATCAAATTGTACAGTAGGAAGGAGAGGGTTTAGCCAGGCTCCAATATGTTGGATTCAGCTCTCTATAAACATCAAGAAAATGAATGGGTCTCTATTTGGTCTCTCTCTGGTCCCTCTCTCTGGCCTCTTTGGTCTCTCTCTGATCTCTCTCTAGTCTCACTCTGGTCTTTCTCTAGTCCCTCTCTGGTCCCTCTCTATTCTCTCTCTGGTCTCTCCCTGGTCTCGCTTTGGGCTTTCTCTCTAGTCTCTATCAGGTCTCTCTCTGGTCCTAAGTTGGTCTGTTATTTTAATCACTGGCTTCTCTCCGTTCCTCTTCCGTTCCTCTTCCACACGGATCCTGTTCAAACCCACAACTGAATAAATCACACACTCTTCATGGCTGTGATTTAACAGTTTCCGTACCTCTAATGTGCAGCGCTAATTTGCAGCTGCTCTTATCTCCGAGCAGAAGATTACAGAAACAAAAGCTATGACTTGTGCGTCTGAACGTTGGCTAAGAAGTGACCGTTTTATGTGTTTTAAATGGATTGACCTCAGATAATCTGTTTAACACTGCAAAAATATGACTGTCGGTATAATCAAGACATAAACCACAGCTGCAGCTCAGACCTAAACCCCCAGGGCATCACAGTTGCTGAGTGGTTAACACTTGCTTCTCAGTAGAAGGTTCTGGGTTCAAAGTGTCAGAACATGGCCTTTCTGAGTGGAGTTTGCATGTTCTGTGGTTGGATCTAGTGTAGTCCTCCTGCCCTCTCTCTGTCTCTGTCTCTGTCTCTCTTTCTCTCTCTCTCTCTCTCATTCTCTGGTTTCTGGTCTCTTTCTGTTTCCCGTCTCTCTCTGGTTTCTCTCTGCTCTTTCTCAAGTCTCTCTCCCTGGTTTCTCTCTCTGGTCTCTCTCTCGGGTCTTCCTCAGGTCTCTTTCCCTGGCTTCTCTCTCTGGTCTCTTTCCCTGGTTTTTCTCTCTGGTCTCTCTCTCTGGTCCCTCTCTCTGGTTTCTGGTCTCTCTATAGTCTCCCTCTGGTATCTCTCTGGTCTCTCTACAACACAAGTCATAACAACACGCCAACCTTTCCCACTGTTGTTATGGATTAACACAGCCTTTACAACACAGGGTCTCTTTAAGAACGCTCAATATTATTATAGTATTAGATAGTATTACACTTACTCCCAAGAGGCCCATCTTCTTCCCTGCTCCTTTTAAAACCACCTGAAGACAAGAAACAGAAAGATTTGGTCCAACGCAACTCATTAACACAAGTAGTTTGACCCGACAGAAAGAGTCTTGTAAAAGTAAAATGTTGTGAACAAATCAGACCACACCCTGCATTTCATCTCATGAGAAAACATGTGATCTTTTGTGTAAGAAAGAGCCCTTAGAGTCACTATAAGACTCTTTGGGCTGAGAGTCTGTCTGAGTAAGGGGGGTTCTCTCTTTTTCACTTTTTTGTTTGAAAAAGATGATTTAAAAATGTGGCAGAGACCAGAAAGACATGAAAACTAGAGATAGAAGCAACTGTTTTAGAGCCAGGAACTAGTGACTTGGATTCTACTTTATATGTCCATTTGTTTGTGGTTTGAAACAGTCCTGATCAGAACCATCACATTAGTCCTGGTCTCAAGTCTCTGTCCTGAAGTCCTCTCACATTAGTCCTGGTCTCAGGTCTCTGCTTGCTGCAAGTCTCTCCATGGACTCGCAACAAAGTACATCTGTGACACGTTAGTACCATATGAACCAACTGAGCACAGGGACTGGCCTCCTCCTGGGACTCCTGCTGGTGCACAGTCAGGACTATATATGTGGAGGCAGCGTTTCAGATTCATGCCGCTAAAATCTGGAACAGTCTTCCTGAAAATGTGAGACAGGCTTCTTCACCAAGATGTTCATATCCAGGTTAAAAATAGTTCTGTTTAGCTGTGCAACAACTGAGGGATTGTATCTTTACTATTTTAATGCTCTGTGAATATTCATGATGTCTTTGTCTTTGAGTTGCCTTGTGTCTGAACTGTGCTGTATAAATAAACTGCATGCTTGGCCTACATACCCCAGCTTTAAGTAAAAACATGTTCTTACCTTATTATAAACATACTGTCGTGCTGCTTCTCGTCGCACTCTGGAAAAACAAACATAAAACTTAAACCATGATCAGGGGGTAAAGTGATCGCCGCCGTTTGTCTGTTTGGCTGTCTGCAAAAACCCTGGCCCAGTGAATGGAACAGATTACACTTTTTTAAAGATAGAAACTACTTTATCAATCCCTGCGAGAGAGATACAGGTGTCGAGAAGCAGAAACACAGCCGTCTACACAAACGTCAATAGGAATGAAGCTGTGCCTCTTGGCGGAGGCCTGTGCTCTACGAGTTTTTATTTTATTTTATCAAAGAGACAACACTCTCTCATCTCTTTCTGATCTGACTCTCTCTGCTCTCTCTCCCGTCTCTCTCACTGGTCTCTATCTCAAGTCTATTTCTCTGGTCTCTCTCTCTAGTCTATCTTTCTGTAGTTTATCTCTAGTCTCTCTCTTTCTAGTCTCTCTCTGGTCTCTCTCTCAGTTTTCTCTCTGGTCTCTCTCTGGTCTATCTCTCTGTTCTCACTCTGGTCTGTCTCTCTGGTTTCTCTAGAGTCTCTCTCCCTGGTCCTTCTCTGGTCTCACTCTCTGGTCTCTCTCTCTGGTCTCTGGTCTCTTTCTGGTCTGTCTGGTATTGTCCCTGGTGTGACGTGAGTTTGTCCTAGAGGTTTGTGTACTTTTTCTCTGCTGTTGTCATGCATCAACACAAACCACAGATCTGAGCTAATTTTTCAACATGTGACAGAGACTTCAGCCTCTAGATCTGAACAATAACATGATCTTATAAAATATTTATTCACAAGAAACACCAGGATCAGCGAGAGCGCCAAAAAAACAGATTTCCCCAAGAAGTGTGACACCAACAGTTACTGAGCTAGAGCGGTTCATTTTTCAATATAAGAGACCAGAGTGAGACTAGAGCACATGTGTCAAAGTCAAGGCCCGCGGGCCGAATTTGGCCCGCGAATGAATTATCTATGGCCCCCGGGACATTGCCTGCCATTGAGGCAATGCATTGACCCCTTAAGCTCGCTAGCCCCCGCCGGCAGGAGCAAACGAGGAAAAAAATACAACTGCTGGCAATAGCAGATGTATTTTGAACTTCATAAGCCACAAGCTATATATCATTTGAAAGCTTATTTTCTCAGCTATATTTATATGTAAGTGTAAACGATATCAGACTTTGCATTAAAAAGATATAACGCATAATATGGGCACAAAATAAATCACGTCTGTATTTGTTTTTTACCTTTCATCTTCTGCTGCTCCAACAAATTAGACTTTCCCCATCCTTGCTTAGTCGCTTTCTCTCCGTAACTGTTCATTGAAGAAGAATATCCACTTGTATTTCCCAAAGTATAATCCATTCTGCAGATTTAATCAAAAAACACCCCGAAAAGAGGTCCAGACTGCTCTTTTACATTTCACCAAGTTTGAGCTTTTTTTTTTAATTACTATTTTCACGTTCTTAGATGTCTATTACATCTAATATGTACAGTATGAGGATTGGCTTTAGAGCATATTTTATCGAGCCAACAGGTGTCACCGGCACTGCCTCTGGATGTTGAGAAACATTGAACCAGTCCAGCCCTCGGCGCGTAGCAAACATTTTTTTTTGGCCCTCTGATGTATTTGACTTTGACATGCCTGGACTAGAGTGAGACCAGAGGGAGACCAGAGACAACCGGAGAACCCGGAGGAAACCTATGCAAACACAGAGAGAACAGAGTGCTAACCTCTCAGCCCTCAAGCTGCTCCCTTTAAAAAAATCAACTAATCAAGGCCCTTCTATCCCCAGACAAGGCTTTATCCTGTGATTATTGAGATAACAGACCTGCGCCCCTCCTGATTGGCTGTTTGGTTGCCATGCGATTTCTACGATTGGCCTCAGATTACCACCCATGGAGCTGAAGAAGATGACTAAGTCTGGGATCGTGTCTTAAATTCCGACAGAAGACATGTTTTATTGTCGATGGTAGAGACAGCGCGAACAAAGCACACGATCACAGATACAATAGAATGCAAGTGTATTATACAGAGCGGAGGCATGGAGACCTCCAATCAGCAGCTTCCACGGTGTGCTTGTAGCTTGGCCTTCAGATAGACAAAACAAGGGAAAAGTACTGGCTTCTGCACATTGATAGAATGATGAGTTTAACTTTAACAAAAGTTGCTTAAAAGTGTTATGAAATCTCACAGATTTCACTTTCACCTGACCTAAACCCTGGAGTTGAACATTTATTCAAGTTTGTGCAAACAAGACATTGTATGTGCAAACGGGAGCAAAATTAATGTTCGTGAAAAACGTTCAAAAACACTCACAAATTTGCCAGCTTCCGCTGCACATAACAACGTTTCACTGATCGAAAATCCTTGGTCATTTTGAAGGGGTACATGTGTTGAGAATGATCTGGAGCGTGATCATCTCAACATGAAACCGTCCCGAGGAGGAGTCGCTTTTCCACCGACATGTATGAAAAATCTTAGTTATAAAAAAGAGAATTCCTTATTCGCCCAACAGTGGGAAATTTTCAATGTTACGCGCACATACATGACAGTATAAGAGCACACAGGATCACACACAAATATACAAATAAGTAGTAGCTAAGTTTTCTTAGCTAAGATAACTAGCGGTAGATCTGAAATTGCTTCAAAACCATTCAAAATATATACATGGTTAGTATTTTCTTGTGCAGAATATACTGTACAGTTTTAAAAGTGCAGGAGAACTAGGTAGTTACGTAAAGTGACATAGGTACATGTGACATTGTTCTGTGACATTCTGAAGTTGCACATAGCACATGAATTAAGAATTATTACTTAATTACAGATGAATGAAATTACAGGCTCAGCAGTTCTTATTGTACAGTACTGACAGCACAGGAAGGAAAGAACCTACGGAACCTCTCCTTCACACACGAGGGTGAATTAGTCTGTCACTGAAGCTGCTCTCCCAGAGCAGAGAGAGTGTCCAGCAGGGGGTGACAGTCATGGTCCAGCATAGATGAAGTTGCTCAGAACCCTCTCCTGTCCCCCACATGCTGCACAGTGTCCAGGGAACAGCCCAGGACTGAGCTGGAACTTCCTGACGACCTTAGTCCAGCTTCTTCCTGTCCCTCTCTGTGGATGTTAGTGTTCAGCAGGACCACACCGTACAATAAGGCTGATGCCACCAAGTCAAGAGAAGGTCTTCAGGAGTGGCCCTGCAATCCAAAGAGACCTAACCTCCTCAGCAGGTAGAGGCGACGCTGTCCCTTCTTGAAGGAGGCGTCTGTTATGAGCACCAGTCCAGTTTTGGTTAAGATGAACACCCAGGAACTATGTAAGAGTCCACTCTCGGTCGATGTCCTTTCTCCCTGGATGTTCACTGGAGCTGGATCGGCAGAGTGGACTTCTGCCGGAAATCCACCACCACTCTTGGTCTTCCCCCGTTTAGGAGGTTTCCGCTGACAGCAGTCCACAAGTCCTGGTATAACTCCTCTATACTCTGTGTCATCGTCCTCGGAGCTGAGTCCGATGAATGGTCAGAGGTCGTCGAGAACTTCTGGAGGACACAACCGACCTTGCTGTGTCCTGGATGTCCGCAGTGTAGAGGGTGAAAGAACGACTGCGAGGGGGGGGGGATTTTCCCGTGGTCGTACACCACACCTGCTGTACTCCAACTTGTCCCTGAGAAGCCGCGGCTGGATGGTGTTGAAGGCCCTGGAGAAATCAAAGAAGAGGAGCCCTCACAGTGGAGCCGGGTTACTTCTCCAGGTGGGACAGGGAGCGATGGAAAGGGAGATGATGGCGTCCTCGACTCCGTGATGCCCGTCCTGTAGGCGAACTGCAGCGGGTCCATCGCTTGCTCAGAGTGAGCTGAGATGTCCAAGGACCCAATCTCTCCAGTTGTCTTCATGCAGTGGGAATGTAGAGCCCCTGGCCCTGAAGTCGCTGAGTCTATGACCCGTGTTTCTTGGGGCACCGGTACCGACACAGGAGGTCTTCCAGAGCTGTGGTACCGCCCTCATCCTTGAGGCTCAGGTTTGAAGACGCGCTCAATCACTCCACAGCGTTTTGGTCTTCACAGGATCAAAGGAGCCAGGACTGATGTTATCTGTCCTTGGTGCCTTCTGGTCTTATCCTCCTCATCGCCGTCCTCAACAGAAGCAGCGGTGAATGACAGGTGGCTGGGGGGGCTGGTTGGAGTGGGTGCTGAGAAGGAGGACGGGGCTTCCTTTGGTGGGGGTGTCTCTGGGGGGCTGGGGGGGCCCGTGGGAAGAGAACTGTGGTTCCATGACAAAGGTGAGAACGATCGTAGGTGGTTGCCCTTTTCCGCTGCCGGAGTGAGGGGAGCGTCTGCGCAGGGGGAGGGGAAGGCTGCTCAAAGCGAGCGAAGAATGTGTTACTCGTATTTGCCCACACTTGTCTCCTGTGGACTGACTGACAGGGGGTTGTTATTGAAAGCTGACATGGAATTGAGCACTCCACACCCCTGCACGTCCAGCCAAGCCAGTATCTTCCTCCATTAGGATTTAGCAGACATCCCCTGAGACGGATCGTGGTGTGCCAAACTCTGGAAGTTTATTTAAGTTTCTCTCAAGTTCCACTGTTTTACTCTGTTTCTTTCCCTCAGACAGAATAAAGGCAGTACACAGTTTATATAGTCATTGTCACGTCACACATCGAAAGACATACGTGTCACAAAGAGACAGTCAAATCATAGTCATAACATGGAGTCCTTGTAGAGTCCTTGTACAGTCCTGCACGTAGGCCATATTGCTATCTAATACTAATACCCTCCCCTTTGATCACATAATCACATGTGATCATTCAATTTGATCAATCAATAAAGTGGAAAAAGAAGAAAAAAAAAAATCCTAAAAAAAAAACTTAAAAAAATTATTAAAAACAAAGAAAATGTATGCATTAAACTCATAATCATCAAATCAATATCAGTGGATTTTATCCTCTATCCTCTAAATAAACAAACAAAAATAAAGTAAATAAACAAACAAAAAACAAATCAAAAATAAAAACAAACAAAAACTATTGGACACACAAGAACTCAGCAGATTCAGTCAAAAAGCTGAGTCTCAAATTTGAAGCTAATTTCACTTTTATTACTCTATACTTTTATTCTAATGCTGATTGTTTACACTTCACTTATTTCACTGTATTATTTTCACTTTTTAATCTTAGACTGTGTACTTTACTTTTACTATTCACTATAGTTTAAAAACTATTCTAATCTATTTACAAATATGTTTGCATATTTGCTTCTATTGAGCCATATTCTTAAACATACATTTTAATCTAATAAATCTCTCTGTGGTTTTACACTCTCATTATCAGTGGCTTATTATCAGTGGGATTTTGCTCCATGTCTATTCTCATTCTCAGGAATAAAACTGTGAACACAGTAAGGCAAACGGTCAACATTTACACTTCTATAGTGGTCAGTGATTTATTACTTTTTATTATCTAAAGATATTATTGTCAGGCAGTTGGGATGAATGTACATCATTAATCAAATTAGTATTATCCTAATAGTAGCTAATTAGGTTTGGGGTTGGGGTCAGTTATTCTACAATGGTGTTTGTGCTGGAAACTTCTCAATATCTAAATATCTACTATTGTGTTTTTGTGCTATACACAAATACATCAAAATGCTTTTAAATGCTTTTGAAATCTCTGTTGGTTCTAATCTAACTCATT